TTATAGTCTTATGCACTACCAGGGATCAGTATATACTTAAATTACGGATTTCATGTGTTAGCTCAGGTAGCTAGACATGGCTTTCACAGCTTACTTACTCGTATGTGATGGACTGTAACAGGCGACATTTAATGGACTTGAGATGCCACGGCTGCCCTGGAGGTATGTGGAGGAGGGACTGAAGACTTAGAAAAAGGAACGTTGACGACATACAATATGTGGTCCACACACCACCCCCCTCTGCCCCCGCTACATCCCCTGAGACCCCAAGACGACACTCCCTTCACGAAATCACTAAGAAATACCACAAAGGTCATGGAAAAATGGAAGTGAAAGATCCTGAAATTTTCCCACAAACTTTTCGAAGCTGCTCCCTCTCGTGGATGTGGTGGTTGTGTGCTGTGGAGTCTCCTGTGAGGCTGACATCTGAATGGGAGCAGATTGCCGGTGGAAACTGATGAGCAGATAAGCGCTAAGCCATTGTGCCCCCAGGACGCCTCCCCTCTAGTTGATCCGGATCCTCTTTCCCATTGATAAGGCTGGGATCTGCCTGCAAAGGCAAACCAGTCCCCAAATCTCATCATCGATGGTTTGTTTCCTGGAAACAGAGACCCATATTCTTCAAAGGCTGTAGGCAGGTAGGATGATGGGAGATGCAGCTATTGAGATGGGCCTGACGGGGTCCCAGAACAGCACAGGCCAGGTGGTAGCGCTGAACTCTGTGTCAGAGCCAAGGTGGGCACCTTACTAAGAGGGGCAGCAGAGGGGCAGGAGTAATCAGACTCCTGGAACCTACAGAGATGTTTGCTGAGGGCTGGCTGTTCGTGGTGTTGGTGGAGCTACCACAATAGAAAGTCACTCCATCTCAGCCAGTGTCCACTCATCGGGTTGTTCCCGACCTGGAGTCGCTTGATTCGAGGGGAGGTCCAGTCCTTTTGTGGAAGGGTTCGGAAGCACCACCACAAGTAACACTATCAATCCCCCCAGGCCCTCCTGAAGGAAACCACCAGTGTATACGATAGTGACTGTGGGTTGGGGAAAGGAAATACTCAGACATTTGGGGGAGCCAGACTAGATACTGACTCTCAAACGACACTGCTAAGGACCTGAAATGCTACCCAGCACGACACTGCTAAGGACCTGAAATGCTACCCAGCACGAGGACTTGTGGTGTCACAATGGCTCGCTCACATGGCCTCTGGCAGGAGGCATCTCCATTAACGGTTTTTGTTTCCTCACTTCCTGAGAGTTAGCATCCCCTTGGCAAGGGATTCAAGAGACAAAGCCCCAATATCTTGACTCACCGTGACCCTGTAGGGCAGGGTGGAACTGCCTTGTGAGTTTCCCAAACTGTGACTACTGATGGGAGTAGAAAGCGCCTTCTTTGAGCGGCTGGTGCTTGCAAACTGCCGACCTTCCGGATTGCAGCCCAATGTGTAACCACTCCGCCAGCAGGGCTCCAAGCTGAGGCTCAGGGAGGTTTTCCTCTTTTAGTGCTAGAGCAACCCTAAAACAATGGGGACCATCTCGAAGGCCAGCCCCCCCTCCCTGCAGCTGCCATAGCAACTTTGCCCCCTCCCTTCTCCACAGACACTCCAGTGCCTCCTCTGAGAGCCAGGCTCAGAGAGTCAGTTTGAGGTTAGTTTGGTGGGAATTTGACCTATGAACTCTAGAAATAGATGGAGAAACATTAGTTAGAGCAATTAATGCTGTGCATTTCCCTCCAACCCGGAAGGTGACAGTGCGACCATGGATCTGTTTGGAGATATAGATGACATTTCTTCAGGGAGTGATGACGGTCAACCGTTTCGTCCAGGCCAGCCGGCTGTAAGTACAGTCACTCGTCTCAACGGGTCCCGGGAGTCAAAGCTAAGCACACGGGTTCAGAGGCTGATGGGCCCATCTCTCCCGTGCGAGGACACGGATAACTGAACCTCGGTCTGAAATCTCTGATGGGTGGGCACTTGGTAGCCCGGGTGGGGACTCCGGGATAGAAGAAGGCAGAGGAAGATTCAAAATGAGACTGAGGCCAGACTGGGAGGACTCCCAATTTGTAAACGTTTGTGTTAAAGGTGGTGTTTTATTTTATTTTTGCATCTCTTATTCAAGACGGTGCCTGGCAGAGTAATTTCATACATCTGTTAGAGCTTTATGAAATGTAGGTGGGTCCAAAAATTAGAATTTTCTGCCAAGCTGTATCGCAAGCTAACAAATCTTGCTTCCTTTGCTGGTTTCTTTCTTTCAAGGGGTTGAGATTGTGCAGGGGGACGGTTGGGGGTGGGGTGGTTGGGGGGCTTTAGTTATTAAACGTGGTGCTTAAGTTTGCTTCCTGCCAACCAGGCACTGTGCTGGGCAGGAGTAAAGCCCTGGCACTTAAGTAATATCTCGTCATGCTCGGATTCCTCTCCTAGGGCGCACGTGGAAAGCCTCGGGGTCGGCAGGCGGAAAAGCCCCTCTCAGCGAGCAGAATCGAAATCGAGGTTCCCAGTATCAACTCTGATTTAGGAAGTGAACTGCATCTCGTTAAGCTCCCCAAGTTTCTCAGCATGGAACCCAAGTAAGAGGGCCAATCAACGGTCATTTCCAAGCTACTGAATGAATATGTGGAATGTAAATAATATTCCTGTTGACTGAGATGAGATTGTCCTTATGTAACTCAGAAATAAAAATGTGGGTGTGCTAGAGTAGACAAACGGTGCATGGCTGGTGTGAGGGAAGTTTCCACACGAATGCCTGCTGGCTTTTCTTATAAGTCAACAGACATCGCAGCTGATGCGGGTCCTTTCCACCCGTGAAAGCTGAGGGCAGCGTTCTTGAACCTCAGAAAATGAGGGTGGGGAAGTTTGCTAGGGAAATGGCCAGTCCCCAATGCAAGAGTCCTTGTGAACCTAGAAAGGATGATCATCTTGGACAAACTTACTGACCAAGGTGTGTTCATCCAGTGCTTGAGCCCTCCTGCACTGTGAGTCGGAATCCGACTCGAGGGCAGTGAGTTTGGGTGTTTGCTTTGATTTCCTTAAAAGAAGAAATAAAAATTATGTGTAAGTTACCTGTGTCTTATCAGACATATTTTGTCAGGCCAAAGATGATTTTGAATGATCAAGTATTAGTCACATTAGGGTTTTGTTTGAACGCAATGTGTTCTATAAACAAAGGTGGCGAAAGCTCGGTGATTTGCATACATTCCAAAGGTTTTACAGGAAGTCCCGTCTTGTATGATTTTTTTCATTGGAAAACCTGAAAAGATATCCGTATGTTCATTACTAAATGTGGCTAATACAACATTAAAAAAACATTTGTAGGCCTTTCGATCCTCGGCACTACGAAGGTGAATTTGAAAATGAGAAAATGCTTGATGAGGAAGATCGAGCCAGATTAAAACTGAAGGTATCAATTCCATGCTTCATTCCCTCATTTTCCTTGTTTACCTTTTAGGAAGTAAAATGCAGTGATAACTCAAAACTTGTGTTTCTAGAAGTGGCCTTTTTTGTTTCCTGCTCAATCAATCAATCTGTTTAGAACAGAATGAACGGTCTTTTCTGGGGAGAAGGCACCTGCCTTTGCTTCCCTGAGGATTGTCACTTTTCTAATCGCCTTTTGTTTTTCAGTGTTAACGTCTCGATGGAAGTAAACAGAAAAACTCTTGACAATTGTGGCCTCCTTGCTTCCGAGTAAATAATGATGTAGCTAGGTATTTGGCACCGCCTCTTCGTTTCATGGTGACGCATCCGGCATCCTAGCAGCTTCCCGCAGGAGACGCACTCTGGCTATTGATGGCTCTTCAAAGGATGCACAAAGAGAGGCCTCGGCTCCAGGCTGTTTCTAGAAGGCCTGGGATGGCAAACACTGCCGTTCTCTTCTTAACAGGAGATGGTGCTCTTGTCTGCCAGGGGATCGCTGGTAGGGCCAGTTTAGTACCCAAGAAGCAAGGCAAGCACGGCCATACTTGTGTTGACTAACCTGTGGTGACTAGCTCCACCTTTCCCCCCACGTCACCGAGTTTGTTTGTCGGTGTGGCTGGTGTCTGCCTCTCTCCACCCCCACTGCACCTTCCTATACATAAAGCCTTTTCTCAAATTTACAATCCCTGACTTGGAGAGAGGAGCTGACAAAAATCCGTGAAACTGTTCCCCATGGATTAGGGAGTCAGCACAAGTAAGCCCGTGTGGATCTTACTTTTTGAGTCATTCACCCCTGATTTGACTTGTGTGACGTGGGATGCCCCACCGTATGAGGAGACACATTTGAACTCAAAAACCGGACAAAGCACACGTCTCAGCTTCTCATTCCTTAAGGGTCAGCCGTTGCTTGAAAAGGTACCGTGTGCTGAGTGCTTTAGAACGGGCACAGTGGGCACAAGGAGTTTTGGGGGGCAGTTTCTTTCCTTGAGTTCATAGCCTGTCAGGTGGCCCTGCGACCCAGAGGCCTCAGCTCTGCAGGGGCTTCCGCCTACATCCGATTGAGCTTCTCCTCTGTGATGAACCAGAGTCCACAAAAAGAAGTAAACAAAAATGCCTGGTTCGTTTTTATGCCAGTGTTTCCCCACGTGGGCGCTAGCGCCCCCTGGGGAGCGCTGAGGTGATCCAGGCGGGCGGCACAGGCAGATGCCCACACTGCATCCTGGAGGATGGACCCTGGGACCAGTGTTTAATTGCCGTGTGGGGCTCAGAGGAATGCTTTTCGGAAAAGAGGCCGCGGGCTAGCTAAATTTGGGAACTTATCATTTAGACCAACATTTGAGGGCTTCGGTGTGGCTACCTGTTTTGTTTCCCCCCCCAGAATTTTTGGGGAATTAGCTCCCATTTTCTCGGGAGCTAATACAGATGTCATAGCACCCCCAGTTCAGTCGCATCAAGCAGCACTGTTCAGTTGCTACCACAGTTTCAAAACCTTCTCTTCCTTCTTGAACTCCTTGACCTCAGGTCCCCTTTACCCCCGACCCCGCCAGCAGCTCTTGGTAAAAGCAGCTCATTTTGTCAGTCTTACCGAGTGAGGGCACATCAGAAGGGCCGTGGGGTCCAGGGGCCCTCTGATGCCTTTGTGTCTTGGACCAGGTGGAGAATACCATACGGTGGAGAGTGCGCAGAGATGCCCAGGGCAACCGAGTGAGACAGAGCAATGCTCGGATGGTCAAGTGGTCGGACGGGAGGTGAGCGAGCTCAGGCTTCTGACGAGCGAGCGGCAGACCCAGAGCGAGGCCTGCGTGGTGTGCGGTTTGCGGTGGGACCTTCTCTGGGAGGCCCCTTACATTTATTCAGCATCCCCGGTGGGGCCGTGGTTACGCAGTCACTGCTAAAGGCTTCGAGGGAGGAAGATGCTCCCGTAAAGATGTACAGCCTGGGGAATCCTCTGAGGTGATCCACTCTGTCCTACAGGGTCGCGATCAGTCAGAATTCACTTAACTACCATGGGCATTTGGGTGGGTTTTGCATTCCTTAAAGGATTGATAAAATCTAGACCCCTGGCACGATCTAAAGAAGCCTAAGAGAAGCAATAGGTTTGGGGCCGTGTACCCAGGCTGGTAAGAAACCAAGATGTGATCACATCTATTGACACGGCTAGCCACAAGTTCAGTGGTTCAAAACCAGCCACTCCACAGGAGAAAGAGGAGTCAGTTGGCTCCCGTAAAGATTTGTAATCTAAAAAAAAAGAAAAGATTTATAGTCTCAGAAATCCTATAGATCAGTGGTTCTCAATCTGTGGGTCGTGACCCCTTTGGGGCTCAAATGACCCTTTCACAGGGGTGGCCCGATTCATCACAGTAGGAAAATGACAGTGGTGAAGTAGCAACGGAAATAATTTTATGGTTGGGGGCTACCACAACATGAGGAACTGTATTGAAGGGTTGCGGCCTTAGGAAGGTTGAGAACCCCTGGCTCTAGAGGCTTGCTAGGCCTTGGCAATGGCAGTGGGTTAGGTAGTAAGGGAGAAACTACGGGTAGCTCCACCTACATTATTATTTTGAAAGGAGGGGAAAAGGTTTCTGTTTTACCAATGAATTGGGAGATATTGGGGAAATTACAAAATAATTATATTCTGGGCTGAAAGGAGCATGGTGTTCTACCTGCGTGTATTATTTTATGTATTTATTTCCCTGCGTTTATTTTTGTAAGGAAATAGCCACTAGAAACCCCTGCCCCCCCCCCGCCCCGCCCCCCACCAGTGGCTAGTGATTGTGCCCCTGGGGGCGTCCCAAGCTGCCAGTCAGTAGATGGCGTCATCTTTCTCCCTCGGAGCGGCTGGGGGGGCTCCAACCACCGGCCCTTGGTTAGCGGGTCAACTGCTTAACCCGTCATTAGTTATTTGGAACATCTTTTCTGATGAATTCAATCTGAGTCACGTGTTATTTTAAGTATGCCAAGTACTCTAACGTGGCAGAAGGGAAGCTAGCGGTAGGACTCTTTAAATATCCATGCTAATCATGGAATGGTTTCTCGTTCCAGCTTGTCTCTGCATTTAGGCAACGAGGTGTTTGATGTCTACAAGGCCCCAATGCAGGGCAATTACAACCATCTGTTTATAAGAGAAGATACTGGCCTACAGGGACAAGCCGTCTTTAAATCCAAACTCACTTTCAGGTAACTAATCATATCGGCGGGTTGGGACCCATAATGGAAGGGCCACCAGGCCATCCACAAAGAGCCTAACTCTCTTAGTAGATGTCACTTGGCAGGCAGCTCACCAAGGACCATGGTCTGATTCCCATCTTACTTTTCCAAGTTGACCACAAGTTGCTATTTCTCAGGGAGCCTGTTCATACTGTCCAAACTCACCTAAGAAAGTTCTATAAGCCACAACAGTAGTGGACTAACTCACATCGCTCCCTGCCGGTTGCCTGCCTTCTGAGACGGCTCTTGCATGGCCTCCCCCTGTAGCGAAATGGTCCTAGAAGCTTCTCAGGGACTAGGATGTGCTTGGGTGCAAATGCAGCAGAGAGAGGGAAAGGCCCGGGCTAGGACCAGCCACGGTTAGTTACCCCCTTCCCTTAGGCTGCTACAACCTGGCACCACGCTGACCGATGGACCGGGCAGTGAGGGGATGGTGGCTGTGGAGCACCCTTCTCTGGCTCCTATGCAGACGCTGTGCCCCCGCCCATCTCCTCTGGGAAGCATAGGGCTGCTGGTTAGCATTTGGCTTTCCCTGAGAAGTGGGGGGCTTCCAAAGCTGGCACAATGGGCCCCAGGTTTCTTTCGGGGTGTGTGTGTGTGTGTGTGTGTGTGTGTGTTCTAGAATTAGCTCATGGTCACAGCTGCACAGCCTTATAAATTCAGTAACAAATTGGGAGTTGTTACGCTTGACCAGCCACATTAATTGGGATGGACTTTATACCTCGGTAAAGGGGTGCTGTTTGTAAGGCTGTTAACAGACACCTCCGTAGTTGAACTTCAGTGTGGTTTGGAGGCACGATCTCAGCCTCCCTAAGTTTTCGTTCCCCTATCAGTCAGAGATGAGAACATCTACTTTACAGGGATGGTCTTTCAATGAAGTCAACTAATAAGCAAAACGCCACGCAGAGGCCTGACATCCAGAGCCTGGTGATCCCTTCCAGGTGGTACCCTAAAGGTGGACCCGTCTGCCCCATTGCAGGGTGCAGACACACATCAAAGAGAAGCACATGGTAGATGACAAAACAGATGCACGGGACCTCCTAAAAGTACGATGCGTGTCCATCAAAGACTTCATCAAAAGAGTGAAAGTAAAGCCCAGAGAGTTGGAAAACTGTGTCCACAATCCTGTGCTGCCAGCACCACCATGGGCCCGGGACTAATCTCTACACTCTGTAGAAAGCAGCAACCCTCAGTAAGAAGAAGGCAAAGAACCCAGAAGAGTGGGCCAAGGACCGAGGATTCACTGAATGTGACGTCCAGGCAGATGAAAGTACTTTATGATCCAGCAGGCTCGCTACTGGGTATATACCTGTGTTAGACAGGGTTCTCTAGAGAGATAAAACCAAATTCTTGATAATATAATATATTTATTTATAAAGGTAATTAATATATA